CATTCCTGCAAAGGCAGTAGCAATTCTAAATAATTTGCGGGCAGTTTTTGTCTTGCTGAGTAATAGTCAGATGATCTTGCATACATGGAACTTGGTGTCTGTCGTTTGCATTCACGCTGAAAGTTGAAGCTTAAACTAGGAGAGGGTTAAAAATACATACTGTGTTTCACTTCTGCTTTCAACTCTGCAGAGTTAGGAGCTGAGGCTCCCTGGTGCTGCGCAGTGGTGTCCCTGTGTGTTGTGCCCCCGTGCAAGGGAATTTGGAGCGTTTTGTTGTCTTCCCCAGCAGTTCTCACATTTACAAGAGAAAAATCTTGCCACCAGGTTACACATATTCTGTCCTTGCCTGACCTTCTTGCTGAATAGGTAAAGAAAAGCCTTTTCCCCTGTTCTCTTTCGAGGCCAGACCCAACATCTTGGGCTCTTCATCATTTACCATTAGCATGTTATTCATCAGATAGCATTTGTGCGAGCTCTGGTTCATACCATTTGTGCCATGTTTATAAATCAGTTTTTTTATATTTTTGTACTGAAGGAAATTGGAGCACTTTAGAAAAGTTTATTTCAGATTCCATTTCTGTTTGGACCTGGAAGGACATCTCTCGTGACAGTAGATCCTGTTGGCATAACTGCGCGCATCTCTCTCGGAGCTGTGAACTCTCTTGATGCTCTTTAGTCTTAGGTCTGGTTTCTGGGCCCACCTTGCACTGTAAAGATTTAATAAATAATCATGGTCCGTGGTTAAATTGACCATTTTGTTGGGGAAGTGTTTGGTTTTGTTTTTTGTTAGGGTGTAAACATTGTAAATAATTCCTTTACTGTTGATACTGCAGTAGTGATATCTTTGTAGTCTTTATTTTATTTGTAAAGTTGATGGTTGAATGTTAATATTCTGTTGAATTGTGCCCTCTTGATTGATTGTAAACTTGATCTTAGCACACCAAATGATGATTTTTACAATGATTGCAATGTTTCTTCACTGAAGGATTTCAGAGCTGCAATAGGACTGAAACCAACTTCTAGCAATAAAAAAAAAAGCATTTAAAAACAGACTGCCTATATATATGTATACTATTATTATTTATATTTTTTTCTATTTGAACCAAAGATCAAAGCAGCAGCCGCTTCTCACGTGTTTCTCATTTTTCCACCCTGGACAGAAATATGAACAAAACTGATGGTTTTCCAAAGGAGAGGCCGGAGCACGGGAGGTGTTAAGTGGAGGACACCAATAGCCGCAGACCTTGCCAGC